TTAGTATACTACTATCTTGACTATCGGTATCAAATTTATAGATTATCATACACAAAGATAAAATTAATTAACTCCACTGAAAGCAATGTTCGAATAAATATTTTTTAGCATTCCTAATTCAAGATTCTATAAAAAATATAATAGAAACATTAATATAAAATAAATATTATGTTTTGTAAATTGAATAAAAAAAATGGTTAAGATTTACTAGATTATGTAATAGAAAAAATTTCATCAAATTAGTAGTATTGAAAGCTTTTATCAAAAGATGTGATGCGAATAAAGCTTGCAAAATATATTATAATGTAAAGAATTCATTTATTAAAAAAGAGTCTCAGTAGAGTATAAGCTTATTTATTAATAAATTATCAACGAAATAGACTACACAGGATTCAACTTCACATGTTAATGATTTATTAACTTAGTTTCACATACAATAGTATTATGCGTGAACGATCAAACATTGTATAAACAAAATTTACAAAATAAAGTATAAGTCTTTACATCTAAAAGCTACTAGTGTAGTAGTGGATCACATAGCTTCATACTTTTTCTCGGGTCCGGCAAATATTGCTCTTTCCGAGACTATCTTCTTCTTTATTTTATTTCCTATCTCTCATATATGTATATATATATTTATATATATTTGTATTTATATTTATATATTTATATATATTCATATTTATATATTTATATTTATATATAAATATTATGCCAAATATTAAATAAGATAGCTTTTGCTAATTTGTCCTAGCACGGAATTCGGGTGTGGGGAGGAATCGGGGGAATCGTGTACATATGTATATTATACTCATTTAGAGAGATTTAATGATCTCTCTATCTTGTAAATATAAAATTATCATCTCTTATTGTAATACCACTGACAATTGATATAATATATACGTATATATACATACACACATATATATATATATATATATATATATATATATATATATATATAGCTATGTTATTTGCAATAATATTTATAATGTACATCGAAAGTGCATTCGTCGCGTTTCTCCTAAATTTGTTAACCGGTAATTTCAATCACGATAAGTCGTTTGTCATTACTAATAAGACCGTTTCGCTTCTTCCTTTCTTTCTTTTTTGGTGCCACTTGCAATTCGTTCGCTAAAAGAATTCCGTTTCCTTCCTTATCTCGATTTTTTCGCACATGCACACTGTTTCGTCATCTACATTTTTTGCGCGCACACGCACACTGTACATTCCGTTACAGAGGACAAAAATGGCCTGCGTACTCTCTCGTTTCTTCATTATATCTCTCTCAAAACACAACAAGCGAACGAAACCGCTCCGTAAATACTCTACTTTTGATATAAATAATAATAGCAATAAATATATCTGCCGAAAAATCTCGTGACTTTTATTTCACGCTCTAATAACTATCGGTATATAATTCTCCAAAAGATTCGCCGCGCGCACGCCTAATTGTCGTCCGTCCGATTAAACTGTCAACTATCTTCTTACGCTACTATGTCATAATCCTTCGTTCAGTCGATGCGACGCAACAATTTTCGACGATGTAGGCCCTTCGTTAAAACTTGCAATGTCCGAGCTGACTGAGCCATCGAGGAAGAAGTTTGCCCGTCAAAGATCTATTTTTGATCCAAATAATCTTACATTGAGTGAAAAATTAAATAATAAACATACGTTGAAGACAGATTTGTTTTAATTGTATGCGTACAAGAGCTACTTCTTCCCTTTTACTTTCATACGGCGTTGTATAAAAATGTGGCATATATTAAACGTACTCTACTTACATCATGTAATGACCCGTAAAGAATGTTCTTATAAAATAGCCCTATAATATATTTTTTTTCTTTCCCAGTCATCTTTCGCGACATTTTAAATAATTAGAAGCCACAATGTTCGCTGTTGATAGAGATGCATTATTAACGCCTAAAATCGTTCGCTCGACAGCTCGTGTAATAATTAATACCTTCATTCGCCAACATTTGCATTTAGCATTAAACAATCATACTCGTCGACTGTTCATCTCGCACGGCGTGATTATTAATAAGGCGCGTAAATGTATATATGTATATGTATATCTATTTACAATATCATGGAAAATATACAAAGAGCATCGGCACTACAGTATATATTCTCGATTCTTTTTAAGACGTTTGATTCTTGCGTATATGTCACTGAGGTAAGTTTTCACTGGTTTCTTTTTTAAACTACGGTCACTCTCTCGCATTGCATGCTCGAGAGAGAAGGGACAAGTACTCTCGGCAAACATCTTAATTTACATCGATCCCAGAGAAAGAAATTAGCAAAATCTCACGCACCAAATTGAGGACCGTTTTTTGCAGAAAAATTGGCATGTATAAAAACTAAAAACTTTTATAAAAAGTTTGTCAATTATCTCCGTAAATATCTTTATTGAAAGATGAGTATAGATAACTTTATTAACGAAATCTATTATAATACTTTCTAAATATGTTGCTAAAATATGGAAAATTGTATAATATGAATAATTAAATTGCTATAAAAATTATAAAACAACTATAATTAGTAAAATTTAATGTTTAAAAAATAGGAAATTCTGTAATTTTGTTGAATTATATAAAAGCGGCCCTCAACTATTCAACTACGAATCATTTGAAACGCTAGTTTGGGCGAGAGAAATTGAATAAAAAATTAGAAATGTCTTAACTTTTAACGGTCCCGTTGTGTGTGTATAGTATGTGTATGTATAGTATATGTATGTATGTGTGTATGTGTATGTACAGTAATGCCAGCCATTTACGTATTATATTCTTTCTATCATCTTTTTTTTATTTTCACACAGTATGTTTTACTGAAAACGTGCAGATTTGAAAGAATTGTCGTTCGCGGCCGTGATATGTTTTTCACCATTCATCAAATGAAACGTTGCATTGCAACGCGTTTGGTCAAGATGAAACGTTACGAATCGTATCGCAGGAAACGAGAATACGATTCTCCGCTGTCAATTTCTTTGCGAAACTTAGTAATATGTGATATCGCGAACTTTTGATTTATTTTGATATAATGTCCTTAAGTAGAGATGCGCACCGGGAAAACTGCTCGCAAAATTTTTACGAGCTTTACATGGTATATGATATTTGTGATTATGCCTAAAAGTGGCCCAAGTCGCAAATATAAGAAAATTAAATCATCAATTCCTTGTTTTATTCATATTTTATAAATTATACACGGGCTCATTTTAAATTTTAAAGTTACGAAAAACAAATATTATAAAAAATTAACATTTTATATCTTAGCATGATAAAACTATTTAAAAATATTTTTTAATACATAAAAATTTTATTATCTCAGAGTAAAAAAATATGACTCGGGCAACTTTCTGCTTTAAGAGAAGACAGAAAACGTACAGTTGTAGACAAGACTTTGTTTGAACCGAGAAACCATCTTCATAAAAGATTTATAATTCCTCGTGGATATATAAGGTGACATCAAGCGATTATCTTTTGATATAGAGTAGCTCCGATTTAATCTCAGAGGCAAATGTAAGCTTACAGACTCGTCGCATATGCGTTTTCACTAACGTTAATTTATTTGTAAACTCGTTACACTGTTGGCCTTTCTTATATATATCTCTCTGCATTATTTGTTAATAAGATGTTTATCGTCATAGTTGACATATTTACAGATGTAATATAACGCTAAATCTGTACGGACCCGTTTTATAGCTAATTGTAAGTGTTATGCAGCCAGTGCAGTTATAGCAAAGTTTCTCAAGTTCCAGCGTGATTTACGTATGCGCGTGCGTTTCTCGAAGAAATCAAAGTTACAAATCATAGAAAACGCAAATTAGGAATCGCGCGATATTTTTTGATACTTGCATCTTCTTTATTGTCTATTGTACATTTCTGAACGCGTCGAAATTATTTCAATAAAAATAAACTTGTGATTTTTATCGCAACTTCAAATATTCAGTTTATAGCATTTATAGCGTTTCCTTGAAAGAAAAATTGAATTATATTTTTATTCTAAATATTGACGGTATATATATTTTAAGTCTTATGTCAAAATTTTGTTTTGTTTTATTTTATTATTAGCTACATGTAATTTCTTTTTATTTTTAATAATCTAAATATCTAAAAATTTGTTATATTTGCTCTGAAAAATCTGAATATTTAAAACGACGTTAAAAGTCAATTACTCGTGTGTGTGCATTTGTTAAAAAATACCTGGAAACCACATCTTGCAGCGGATTGCTTCGCTACTACGTACTATACAAAATCGACCCGTAAATTATTTAATTGCAGCGTGTGCCAGGTTTATATCGTTTGAGGAACATTTTGTTAAAAAGATGATCGCGCGGATCAAAAACGTCTTTGCAGACGCATATAGATTAAAAATAGTTCAACGAGCCTGCAGCCGATGTTGTCACGGTTTAAAACAATTATTCACACTCTGTATATAGCCTTCTAAAAAAATGCATTACTCTCTATGGATAGTGTAATGAAGGTTTGTTCGCAAAAATATCTTTTTAAACCTATACACGTTTGCTTACACGATTGCCCACATATATGGGCAAATACATATTTTCAGGAAACATCCATGCCTTCAAATGGCACGTGTAAATTGTAAAAACCACGCGTAGTAATCGGGAGAGATTGTATAATATATATTAATTATAGAAAGTTTGTGTGTTTAAAACACCGTCTTTTCTATTATTTTATTAATGGAATCTATAGACGAGTGTTCGAATAAAATAATTGTGTGACAAATTATTCGCTTATGATATAAATGTAATCTCCTTCTATCAATCGAAAAACATCTGTGAAAAACTATCGCTTCCAATATTTTGCTTTCTGTACGTAGTTACATAGATATTTAGTATTAGAGTAAATAATCTAAGAGAATGCATGCTGTAGGCCTATTTTGTATGAATTGGCCGTAGTATTTCTTGCATATGTATGTATATATATATATATATATATATATATATATATGTATAATATATTTCACTATTAATTATGCAATTTTACATGCCTGACCATTTCTTTATTAAACAGATGCTATTCGTCATAAAACAGAATGCACAAAAAATATTACAGCAGATATTACTTAGGCTTTGTCAATTAATTTTATAGAAAAAAGAGAAAAATGCTTGTTACTGTTATATGAGATTGTTGTAATACAGTTCTATGTTTAGCGTTGCATTCTCATGGCCATCGTTTCTGGTATCCATCAAAAGCATTTCTTTCAATTTAATCATGGACAAAATTTTTGATTATGTTATCGGAGACGCTTTTCACATAATCATACGATGCTGTGTGAGCGTCCTAAAGCGTAATATTTATATATAGGAATGGGAAAAAGTTTTAGAGAGAGATAAGATTGTACAATCTCTTCTTTTTGCTCAGAGATGAAATTCTTATAATGATTTTACAAAGAATTCCGATTGTTCGAATGTAGCAAATCACAGTGAACGATCACCGAAACATATATGACTGTATATTCATATACTTTCAAAGTGATTCATTTAAATAATATTTTTGCATCATTTATCACGTATCAACGTTAACATCACGTACTTTTGCACCATCTTACTTAATTTGTCACGTTAGAATCGTTATGTGTGTAATAAAATTTACCGTGATTAAATTAAATCGCACTGAATTGTACCTGCTTCAAAATCGCTTATTTCGCAATTACTTCTATCTAATTAATCAATCATTAATTATGAAGCAAACGGAAGTATATTGGTAATTTATAGGACGTGTACAATTTGTGTGAGAATTTATTAATAATTTATTAAACGGAAAGCTGACTAAAAATTACATTTCCGCACAAAGATCTTCGATACTTTGCGATTTACGACAAATGTAGTGTCGATCGCACGGATGTTTGCACTGACACCCATGATTAAACAACCATGATCAACACGGATCACCGGCATTGTTTCTGTTCGGCTTTGGCATGGTCCATGATTGCCCTTTTCGATGATCTCTTGGCCTCCGATTTGCCAGCGCCATTGATACCCTTTGAACTGGTTGCTGGCAATGATGTCACTTTGGGCGACTTTTTCAAGTCTTTGTGGTCGCTAGACGCCTCCGTCATCTTGTCCAGTTCCGCCATCGCCTCTTGTATCGCATTTTCCAATTGCATATTCAATTTACGACTTCTAGAAAAATAGGGGAGGAACGAGAAAATTGTACAGTTAGACAAATGATTACCAGCGATTACACGTGCGGATTAGACCGATCAGAATAATTGAGCTCATAATATAAAAGCTAAACACACAATCGCGACTAATAGACTTTGCCAAGCATAAGTGATAATAGTTGGCTACATTATAATTAACGCGTACAATTTTTTGTCAAAGAGAAAAACCACGTCAACGAGTCATAGAAAAATATTTTTTTTTTCTTAGAAATAATTTGATTGTGTTCATATAGATTTCTCAAAAATTTTTCTATACAATCGTCTATCACATCGCGCGTGTGTTATGGAAATTAGAATTATATGTATATTTAATAATACAGAATAAAAAAAGAAAGGGGAATAAGAAGAAAGATGGCTGAGAGATTGAAGTAGAACCACTTAACATATTAATGTCCAGCACATATAAGTATCAATATCCTTTGGCTAAGTTAACAAGAATATTGAACCGCAGCTACGCAGTAAGCTATGCGGGATAGATTTAATTGGCTGTTGGCTTGCTAATAAATACTGTATGATTACAATCACTATAAGAGTTCTTCAGAAAGAAAAAAGAAAAAATTTATTATTATTAGATATAAATTTGTTACGAGATAGATTTTCATGTCTTATTTTTATCGCAATATGTTCTAATAATGCGATAAAAATGTAGTAAATTTGTTACAAGATAGATTTTCATGTCTTATTTTTATCGCAATATGTTCTAATAATGCGATAAAAATGGATCAAGTCTGTAGATATCTATCTCGTGTAGCACGCGTATCTTTCTTCGTTTATTCTTTCTCTTCTAAAAATGTACAATTATAATTAATTAAACGTAATACAATTTATATAACATGACGTGCATATTTTATGCAATCTTAAAAAGGCGACATAATGCAATTCTACTATTTGACATTTATAATGCTCCGAATAAAAGCATAAATTATATATATATATATATATATATATATATATATATATATATATAATTCATAATTCTCTAGAATCGAGAATGCCGGACGTGGAGAAAAAAAAATTTTTAAATACTCAAGCATCTCTCCTATTTTTTGTTTTCCCCTGAATATTTACATTAATGCGATGTATATTAAGCGACAAGATAATTCTAAGAGACTCTCATCTTTCGATAGTTCATCCCTGTCGGGGCTGACTCACTTCCTAAACTTTTTACGGGCGCGATGATGCGCCTCGAGGCCTTCGGAGAGGGACTTGAGGGCCTTGACATCGACTTGGGTGCGACCACCCCCGCCCCCGTACCACCGGACCCAAACCGTCTTAGTACCCGGAGGGCCCAAAGATTCGACTTTTCCCGGCCAGGCCGGGCTTCCTCTTGCTGCACCCCACACTAGGTCACCGACCATCAGTTTCCATTGTTCATGGTTTCCGTCGTCTAAGTCCTTTGTCTCGGCTACTGGGGGTTCCAAAGAAGGCACGGTATCTTTCAGAGTTTTATAATCTCGATTGTTTTCGCGTGATTATTAAAAAATTACAAAAAAGCCCATCTCCGAGAAAAGACTTTTGTACAGACATATTGGATAGAAAACTGTGACGGAGTCGTATAAAGATAATTGAGATAATTTTTTAAAATATGATTAATTTTATATTGAATATTATATATTAATAATATTAAATTGCTGCCACTTCTTCTTTTTATCAAGAATTTATAGTGATATTTATAGTGATTTTTCTCCTATTATATCACGATTTTATTTACTTTACAAAATATCAATAATTGTTTTTATCTAACTTATATGAATTGTTTGAAGAATATATTAATATTTTCAAAGGATATATTTTGTATTAACATTTGCCACGATTAGCTACAAATTTACCATTATTAAAACGATCAATAGAATTACAAATAATTAGTTTTCATGTATATAAACGTGTACGTACATATCGTGATACGATACCGCATAATTTCCATCTGATACATCTGTATTGATCTCGATTGCGAGATGTGCAACGCATAACAGCGAAACGTTATGCTTATAGTGCGTGTCGCAGAGGAATATTTGAAACTGATGGTTTAACTACTCGTCCAATAGTATCGTAACAATGTGCTTCTTGCTCGCGTATGTGCTCGTTAAAAATGATTAGTAGCTTCATTCAATGGTGATAGGCGAGTTCCAAGGCAGAATGAAATATCAGATGATTCGAATACATGCAATGATTTTCTTGATATGAATGTTATTTATTCTATATTGTTCTTTTTGCATTATTCATTTATGAGAAATCTCTTCATACATATATCGCTCAAGCGAATAAACTTATAATAGAAGCTTATAATACTCGAAAAAGATCAGGTTTTCAAATTTTAACAAATTTTAAGAAACTTTTTCATTCCTTCTTTTATTATTTTTAACTTTTTCAATGCGAGTTTCTTTGTAAAAAAAATTATGATTGATTGATTTTGCGAATAATTATAGTTAAATATAACAATTTTATTTTCCGATTCATCCTAAATTTATTAATCCAACTTTATAATTCAACATCCAATTTTATTTCACATTTATATCCACCTAAATCATTGTCCAGTAAATGTTCCGCAGTCGTAAAATAATTCGAAAAAAAGACCTCCTCGGGAATATGCACATGCTGTACGCAAAACATGAGGGTGTATATGTACAAGGTACGTTGAAATAACACACGATAGTGAGCCACACCCCTTCCGAAATGAACATATGATTCAAGACCCTTGGCCACTCGGATGACAATGTAATTGCATGGGTGATGATATTAACAAACCTGACAGCCAATTAGTAAACGCAAAAAAAGGGGATCTTCAAGGGCATTATTTACAAATGTCAAAAGTTATTTTCTTCACTTCCCCAAGCGACGTCGAAGACTCGTACGTGATGAATGAAGGATATTTAGTACTGACACCACTTACCTGTCTCTCTTCGACTTCTCGTTTAATATGATTAATAATGCGACATTATAAATCAGTCGCTATCATAGACTAATTCTAAGAACTCAGTTCTGATTCGCGCAAAATATTTTTCTGGCATAAAGCTTCGAAGAGGGAATGATCCCTTTCGATCTAGCATCCAATTCTTGCATACGCAGAATCTCGAATATTGTGAAAAAAAGCTGCTACCAAAGCAATTGCAATGCGGCAAGCGTACATTTTATCATGCAACGATCAAGCACACAAATTAAATAAATAAATAAATACATAAATACTATTAACACACAGGCAAAATTATGGCATACGTGGCACTCGGTTGAAACAGCAAATAGAGTTAGACAATGCCAATGAAAATTAGACAGTGTACGCGAGCATGTGAATTGCAAATAATTCGATTAAAATCATAATTTGAAATACTCTTAATAATAACATTCATACGATAATTATTTGGTGATAAAGAGCAACGAGAAGCGCATTGTTTTTCTCTTGTCTAAACGAAATCATAAATGAATTGGTAAAACAATGATCGATGCTTTACGTTCCTCATTTTCACAAAGAACTAACGAAAAACATCCTGAAGAAGAAACTTTTTTACGATTATCGAAATAAAGTATTAATCTGTGTATATGATCAATATAACTTTAATATACTTGTCATTAAATTATAAAATAATTTATATGCAAGTAGTCTAAGTATTCTCGTATAAAATATAACTAAATATTTTTTTTATTCCGATATATATTATTCTATTAAAAATTGGAAATTTTTGTACATGTTAATTATAAATCTATACTACATTTCTTTCTCGTTTACAATGACAATTATATAATTTCCAAGTCTAAAGTTCTAAGTTTAAAGTTTCTTTGTAGAATGCTTTTACCGTTACTAATTGTAAGCGGAAGTATATTTTGACTACTCATATACTATTAACATCTAAGAGTACCATACAATACTGACCATCTTGGTCTTCATGCAGAGTAGAATGCATGGAATGGATGGAGTCCAGCTTTCGCTTGATTCCGCGGCCGAGGGCATGTTCCCTGCCCTCGCACCTCACCGTGCTCACCACACCTTCGGCTTGCTTCAACGTCTCTGACGTATAGATCTGTCAAATACAACTCGATCAACTCAGGCACAAGCCTACCAATCGCATGCTAATATCATTTCAGTATATCATTCAGTGCCGATGTATTATTTTTTATTACTTAAGAATTTCGATTCGTAGTTTATAAGAATTTTTTTATTTTTCTCGATCGAGCATAGGAGACAAAAGCGCAAAATTCCAATTAAAATATACAAGAATCGGACAATACAAAAGAAAAAAAAAACAACAAATAGAATTGAAGGAAAAAATTATTAGAAAGATTAAAATTTTGTGACCGATATCTCCAATGCTTTTAATGCAGAAATCACGCGATTCATCGGTGCATGCAAACGATAATACTAAAAGAGACAAACTCAAACTCTGTTTACACATGCTTACATTGCAAGGTATATATATGTTTAGAGAGAGAATCATATATATAATTTTTATCAGAGAGAGAAAAGGATAATTTTCAGTAAAAATTTATTTTTTCGTTATTATATATAAAAAGGAGTGATTTTTTTGCTAATTAATCCGATCAACACACGGTTAGTAATACAATTACATTATTGCAATATACGATTTAAATAATAACGCTACGAATAAACGAGCGCTCTTCACCATAGTGAAGATGTAAAAATTATTAACGTTAAATACAAACTAATTACAAACTTAATATTATCGAATGTAAACCGATCGCAACTTAATAATGCCATTGATATATATCTATCTCATTCCAATTTACAAAATTAATTAATTTTGTCCCGCGCGAAAAGAAAGCTGCGATTACTCGTCTGATGATGAATCACTCTCCTCAGCATCGTCGCCCTCTTGCGCATATACGAATTGATTATAAACGTATGGATTAATGTAGGCTTGCTTACTAGGTGTGTAGTTAACAACAGCAATGCCATTAGGGTCAGACCTATAATTATATAAATGTGGATACATGTTGGACGGCGCGATGCCAACGTTAACAAATTTTTGCGAATACCCGACATTTTGTGGAGGACAATAAGACATCCCGGTGTTATGTCGTTCCAATAATTTCTCTGTAGAATTTTGTTCGATCTCTTCTTGCTCCATGACATGTTGTTCGATTTGAGAGACGCGATTATTATCTACGCACGATTTATCGTTGAACTTGTTATTAATTTGAGGCGACATAGTATAATGAGCGTGATCTGGCACTAAGGCTTGCTGTCGATAAACGTTCGCATTAGGGACATAATGCTGGCCATGATAAAGGATTGGTTGATAATGACCGTGACCTATGATTTGCAATGGATTGATCTCAATCTCCGAATGGGAAATATCCGTCATTTCTTTACTGACGCTTAGTTGATCTTCCACGGTAGAGTGGTCCATTGTGTCTGAATTAATGGAATGATTTGGTGATGAAGTGTCCATATACTCCTGTGAGTCAGCGTATGTGTTTTCTGCGTGTGTCGTATCGGCTGGCTGGTGCATGTCTATTATAGTTAGATGACGGTTGACCTGCTCTACGTGGGTACCAACCTGGATCCCAGTGGTCACTGTCGACTCCACGTAAGTCTTTCCGTGCAAGCTCGGTTGATTCAACGTGATTTCCTTGGTGGCGATACTTTGCATTCTCCAATCTTCCGATGCTACCTGTACATCGCCCGAATCCGGTTCGCTGCTCGAAACGCAATGAACCATAGGCTGAAAATAAATTGCGCATCACGTGATAATTAATAAATGCGGATATTCTTTAAAAGAAGGAAAAAAAATTCTACACGTCTTTTAAGCTATAATAATCAAAATTTAAACAAAAATTAAATCATATCTTCTTCTATAACATTAAGAAATTAAAATTTGTTTTAAAATAAAAAATTAGAAACGATTCCATTTATTATAAATTATTTTTTACCGTAGACGACGAGTGATGTCTAGCAGTGATTGGAGGCGCTGGCGAAGCTGCACCGTGTGTAGTAGTGTCCACGGCCGGACTATTGGATCTCTGACTATTTCCAGGACTATGAGTAGTCGTATCCGGTGGCGATCCTTGCCGCATCATCGCCGATTGTACCACATTGGTTTGATTTCCGGCAGTTTGCGTAGATACTGAATGCCTTGCCATAAGCGGACTATGTTGTTCATTTTGTTGAGCCGTTTTTTCCACAACGGTCGTGCTACTACTAGCGAGTACATATTGCTGCTGCTCGATATTCTGATCAGACGATGGCGAATTTATTCCGCTCTTAGGGGAAGATGATGCCGCTTTTCCCTGAATCATACCGGAGCTCAGGATATACGATTGATTCTGATCGAGATTTAAAGAAGGTTCGACCGCTTGTCCACCGTTAGAAGTTGCGCTTTGAAAATTTGGTATCTGATTATTAGACACCATAGTCGTTTGTTGCTGTACGATCGTCGTATTCTGCTGGACGAATGTTGTATTCTGTTGATTCGATGCCGAGGAAACGGCAATGTTTTGCGCGGTAGCACAAGGTACCATAAGAGTTTGCCCATTCATTTGTATGAATTCCTGTTGACCCTGCATGTTCGGTGGTCTCACTTGTGAGGTATTGAATGTTACTTGCTGATTCGGACTGACATTTGCTACTATTGGACTTAGTTGATTTCCGAAAGATGTTGTTCCATTTACCAAAAACTGGCCACTGTTTGGTGAAAGAAATTGTGCTCCCGGACTGTGCTGCTGAATTATTTTTCCACTAGTCGCTTGCGGTGCTCGTATTACCATACCAGCTGGACCGGCAGCCAATATACTTTGACTGGGATTGAATATACTACCATGACTCTGCACCGGTGTCAACACATTCTGTCCATTGACATTCTGTATCTGAAGCTGCATCCCAATGTTGCCCGTATCCTGCAGCAATGTGGCCGTTCCATCAGCAGACATAACCATGCTACCTAAACCAGGCACGATAAACTGCTGAATAGTGGGGAAATTTTGAACCATCCCAGTCGCTCCGTTCAACAAATTCACTGGTTGAAGAAGATTTATTTGCTGAGTCGGTTGAGGATTCGTAATTATTTGCTGAGCATTAAATTGTGCAGATGCCGCACCAGTCTGACCATTCATGACTAATTGTGCCGGTGCTCCGCCTTTGCCAGGTACAATAGTTAACGCCTGAAGCATAGGCCCGCCTATACTCTGAGCCTGAAAGTTCTGTTGCGCAAAGTTCGACTGAGATTGCATTAGCATACCAGCGTTTTGCTGGGACGAAGCGATGTGCAGCATCGATGCTACGGTCTGCGGATTCGCTTTTCGCTTCTTATATCCTTTCTTCTTGGTCATCGCTGATTCCGGCGATAATAATGCCGGTTGTCGATTTATCGTCATACCTTGATTGGCATTGACAGTTCTAGATACATCCTGATTTGTGTCGAGGATTGACTGAGTGTTTTGTATAACGTTGCCGGTAGCAACCGTTAAATGCGGTATCTGCACATTCTGACCTATACCGTCCATCGTCATCACGCTAGGCTGAATTAGCACTGGCGTCTGAATAGTATTCACGAGAACCGTCGGTTGTCCTATCACTTGTTGGGCTACCGCAGGAATCACTTGGCTGACGGCTCCAGTCACGCTAGTAACCATCGGTGATACCGACAACGGTGGCATAGAACTGGCATTGGAAATGATTTTCGGTGGAGGAGGTGCCATTACGCCATTGATAGCCGACCCAGTACTCGCCATGATGAGTTGACCGCCGCTGGATACCAGTATATGGCCAGGCGGTAGCGTCGATCCGGCAGAATGTTTTAATATACCACCAGAAGTGAGGACGTTGTGAACTTGAACGTTGGCTTGGGGATGCTGCTGTTGTGGCTGCTGCTGCTGCTGCTGCTGCTGCTGCTGCTGCTGTTGTTGTTGTTGGTGGTGGTGGTGGTGCTGTTGCTGCTGCTGTTGAGTTTGCGGCTGCAATGACGAATTCGTACTTGTCTGAGGTACTTGTATGCTACTGACAACACTTTGGACCATTTCGAGCGGAGACTTAGACACCATTGTCGAAGATTGATTGTGCGAAACAGTGGAATGAGTGGTAACTGAAGCACTTGGCACATTCGTTAATGTCGTAGATTGTGCTTGATGCTGCGGCTTATTCGGCAAAAGATTAGGTATAGCGGGATTCGGTATCGCAGATGGTGTGTTTATGGAAACGGTAGCGGTATTCGCTCTTCCAGCTAACACAGACGTAATTGTATTACTGCTAACTGTATGACCACTGGCCATAGTTGTTATCACGGATGATGTTCCACCGAAAGTGTTCATAGATATCCTAGAAACTGCGTTTACAGCGTGCGGATGCGGTTGATAACCGTCCAAGGAATTTTGTCTACTCGTTATTTGTCGTTTCACTTGAGGTGTTAAATTGTCCGATGCGGAGGAAGACGTCTGAGATGGCGATGTGCTAGGTGGAATACAGCTGGAACTCATTGTACCGGAACTAGGAGTCTCAGATCTTTGTTCTTGAATGTTACTACTAATCAAGGATTGCGACGGCTGTTGTTGCGCTTGTGGAGTTATTGTTTGGGAGGGCATTTGGCCTGACAAGTGTGAATGAGGTGTTGGTGGTTGCGAATAACTATGTGGTGTCGCTGGTTGCGATGAGATAAGGCTCTGCGGAGTTGCTGGTTGCGAAATCCCAGGTGTCGAAGCCGTTGGTGTATCCGAATTAGCTGGACTATTCGTACCGATAGGAGATCCATGACTGGTGCTCACAGTACCGCCTTGTATTGGTCTAGAGTCAATTTGTTGTTGATTGCTCGTTTGATATCGTTCGCTGAATGTTGACGACGTGACAGGATCTTCGCGCTGATCCGTATTCATCAGGTACTGTCGTTGCATCTGTTGCTTATATTGATCTTGAATATAAGACTGTGTATCAGCACTGGTGACGCAACCTTGACACGGACTGCTCTCGGAATCTGTGCCATTGTTGCTCGATGTAGGCGTCATACTGCTGTGTACGACAACCGGCGAAGTCGCGTGATTCTTTACAGAAGCAAATGACGACGAGGTACTTGTAGGACTGGCGATAGAGGAAGGCTTTGGTTGAGAATTATAAGTGTTCGAGACATGCATGCCATGATTGGCTTGAGGCGACGCTTTCGGATTGTTGTTCAACATGCCCACTTGAGAGCTACTGACACCGGTTTGTCTCGATATTGTGCTATTGAGCAGCGCCGTCTGCTGGGCGAGGTACCCGCTGGGATCCTCTAGGAACGAAGGACCGCTGCTATTGAACGTTGAACCTATCTGATTATTATTTTGCTGATTCTTTTCGCTGAACTCATCTACTGGACTTGATACCGAATGTTCTAATCCGTTATTTGTTCTTGATTCTACGGCACTGTGTTGTCGCTGTTTCTTTACTATTATTTTATTCGATTTCGCTTTCTTTCGCGCAGCCTCATCCGTCCAGTTGGAAGGCTGTGGAATGTGATGATGAAGTGGTGGCACGCGATCAAACGAGTTGCAGGTGATATTCTGCACAGTGACGAGGGACGGTTGATGGGATACGGTCGCAGCACGATTCTGCTGCCATGGTGGTGTTCTATTGTTAAAATGCAAGTTGCCGGGCTGCCCATTTGGTCCCATACCAGACTGCTGCGCCTCAACGGCGTGAGTCGTATTCGGGCTTCTTCCCGTGTGATTGGATAAAACGAACTGCTGTTGATGTCCCATCTTTGCATCTGTGTTTGTCCCTTTCGAAGGATCAAAGTTCCTCATCGGATATTGTACTTGGTTTTGCGCGTACATTCTCTGAACGTTCTCGTGAGAATTATTTGGCAAACCATTTTGAACTACATGATGTCGTTGCAATGAATGATTATGTAACAGAAGTTGTTGCTGTTGTTGTTGCTGCTGTTGTAACTGTTTCGCATTTAAATCCTCATCATTAATTGATGACGCTCGATTGTGCCTATTTTGAATGTCAGTAGCATTGATGTTAGTCATAATGGCAGAGCCAGTTTGCTGCTGCATAACGTCCACAGAGTGATGATTTATTTGCTGATTTGGATATTGCGGCTGAATGCAAACTTGCGATAACTGCTGCTGATGTTGTTGTTGTTGTTGCAACTGCTGTTGAATCTGCATCTGAAAATGATCCGATGATTGTGGCTGCATAGCATGCTGACTTTGTTGAGGCTGTTGCGGCTGCATCTGATGCTGGTGAACTTGATGCAATTGCGGATGAAGGGCAGCTTGATTCGACACTTGCGATGATTGCATATGATGTATGTAACTTTCAGCAGGATGCTGAGAGTAATTTGTCGACTGCGGCTGATCTATTTCCTGAGTCAAGTGCTGCTGTTGTTGTTGCATATTATGCTTTTGAATCTGTTGCAAATGCAATTGTTGCTGCTGTTGTTGTTGCGAATTCAAGTGCTGCTGCTGTTGTTGCATTACATGCATCGACTGTTGATTCAGCTGATTGATATAATGGGGAGCTTGCTGCTGCGCTAATTGATTTACCATTGTATTCTGATGCTGTTGTTGTTCCTGTTGCTGCTGTAAGATCTGCATATGTTGCAGCTGCTGCTGATGTGGTAACAACTGCTGCGATTGTTGTTGCTGCGATATATGCTGCTGAATTAGTTGCTGTTGTTGATGCTGTTGCTGCTGCTGTAGGATAAGTTGTTGTTGTTGTAAAAGCTGCTGTTGTTGTTGAGTCATATTATTGTAATTTGTACTCTGCTGATTCATTATCAGCGGATTGTTCATCAGCATGCCCGACATATTGTGTTGGTTTAACCTCTGCTGAGGATTTCTTGCACAATTGTTTACATCATGATTCTGGGAAGGCGAATTTAAAGACTGATGACAGATTTGTTGGCCGTTTTGTTGGACTTGCAGATTCGGGATCGTGATTGGCCATACCTAAAAATTAAATAATTATAAAATAAATATTTCGACAAATATCTAGTGAAACGTAATGAAAAAATGCATGTATAAAATATATGTCGTATACATATATAATTGGTTGAATAATTCTTTGTAAAAATTTGATTATGTAATTTATCTACAAAATAATAAGAATACTGCGAGATGCTTAATATTATACAAAACTATGATTTTTGGCTCAGAAAAGAATTCGATAATTTGCAAAATTCTATGATAATTACATTCAATTCACAATTACCTGCGATCCATTAGGCACCGGTGAACCTTGAACTCCAGAAGCCGCGACCGCGGCAATAGCTCTTTCCCGTTGTACCAGAAGTTGCGAAACCGAGACGCCGGAATAAATGCCGCCTATGCCTCCCAGTTTCCTCTTCTTCTTCTTGCTGTGACCATCTGCGCACGTCAATAAAGTATCTCTTAATAAACCAGAACCGGAATTCAATTATATCTTCAATTCGCCGGCATCTACTTGAAGTTGAATCGATAAAAGCATTTCCCGAGAGTGCAATTGTGAAAGACAATAAGTCTCTGGCGCTAGAGAAATTAAAATACGACTTATTCACCCTAATCCCGTGCCGTCGGCGTTTTCGCTTATTATTCAGGCGATGTTCCAAGCTCCTTAATGAAACAAATGTTCCATTTGAAATCCCGCCGCAAGGTTAAATTGTATTTAGCCCGACATTTCCGTGCTTTAACTCTCTATCTCTTTTAAAACATCGGCCTTTCTTTCAATTTGCATTCTCATTCCGAAAAATATCGCAATTAAAAGATAGAAGAAAAAGAAATGAAAATTTTGAAGGCTTATACCAATCTTGGAATATGTGATAACAAAATAGAGTTACATCATATCTGTAGATGTAGAATACCGATAACAACAACTAAAAGTCATTACAAGTACGCGAATATGTTAATTGATGCAATATTTATAAATTAATCTTACATTAAATTAGTATCATGATTGAAATCATTTTGTCTTCTAGTATAATGTAAATTTTATATATTTTCTAACAATAGATATTTGAAAAGTTACACAGAAATTATAAAAATATATACAGAATATATACAAAAAATTCCAAAACTGCAATTCAACAAATAATAAATACAAAAAATAATGGTATATACACTATGTAATATGAACATTAGAGTATTTTAAACGGTATATAAATATACTCAGAAAGAGATGAGAGGATTAAATTAATTATATTTTGAAAACATTATCATTTGCATGTCTTAGAACAGTTGCAAGGATCATCGATTCTTCCGAATTAGCATGATTTACGTGTTAGAAAGGAGAAGGATTTTCAACGCAGGGTGATAGGTAAGGGGATCTTTTATCTGTAAGCCTGCAGAAGATAATTATTCTTTGTGCGAGTCGATTGACGCGGGGAGAGAACCAGATTATTCTTGGCGAAGAGGGGAAAAGCATGAAAACGACGAGAAGAGAAAGCGAAAAGGGAGGACGATCATAGTAATGAATCTAAGGCAACTTGTCTGTCCTGACGGCAGTTTAACCCGATTTTCCAAGGGAGAATTTGCGAAAGATTTGCGTAAAATCTTTGGATCCATTTTGTGGCTTCCGGGGTTTTCACGCCAACGCGTAAAGTCTCCCCACACCCATTTGGAATGCCTGCAGTCAATGGTTCGAGCAATAAACGTTCTCGTCGTTAAACTCGATGAAAGAGGGCGACGTAGTAATTGGAAGATGTACTTCGTCGTTTGCGGCTGTTTTTAACCGTCTCAGGTACTCAGTTAAAGCACTCGGATATTCGTTAGTAACTTGCTCGTAATAAATGATTCGTTTTACGGAACGCATGCTTGTTAAATATTAAGAATTGAATTATTGAATTAATTTAAATATTTATTAAACATTTTTCATTCACGGAGATTGTTGTCCCATTGATTTGGCTAAAAATACATCTTTCTATCAAATTTTGAAAATGGATATGTCAAATTATATGGTGCGGTTTATTATCATGTAGATAAGATTTAAAGATAATGTAAATTAATTTCAGAACTGCAATTACTAAAAACGCTTGAAAGTATCAAAATACATAAAGTTGTAATAAAAGAATTTTCAATTTTTCCAGAATATTATATTAAGAATTTAAATAAAAATTTGAACAATTTCTGATAACAAATTAACTCCAGCGACAAGGGCATCAATTCGCTTGAAAAGCTATGGATACAAACGCACTTGTAAAGATGATATTCGTAATCTCGCGAGATAAATCCACTCTTCATCGGTCTCACTGACGCAGTAAGGGCGAACGTTGGTGGCATCGTCGGCGCTTTAACTACACCTACAACGAGAGCCAGACACAAGCGTCGCGAATTTACTTTCAAGCTCCAGCAATCTCGACAGCAAATAACTCTCTTTAGTACGAGCATGAAAATCCGCCAGGATCGCGTCGTTACGCCGTTACGCCGAAGGCGTTGATGCGGACTGAGCGGAGTGAGATCGAAATGCGCTTGCGCGACCAACCGATGGGAGCGGACATGAGGGTGGCTTGGGAGAGAAACAGAGAGAGGAGTAAGGACCCTCCGCCGAGGGAACAAACGTCACTCTCTCGGGGCAGGCGCAAGAATCACAACCGGACACAATCGTTGGACCACAACACTGCTCTCCCTCTCTCTTTCTTTCTCTCTGCTTCTCCCTATTCCCTTCTCCCTATTCCTTATGCGCACGATCGTGGCTCGCTTCTCGTACGAAATTAACCCTTATCAACTCTGTGTTCCACCACCACCTTTCTCCATAACCCCCACCGCGGAAATTACAGCCTGGCTTCTTTCACCCCTTCTTCTTGTATCCACCACCCTCGCCATCGGTCGCGATACGCCGTCTTCGTCGTTGTCATCGTTGTCGTTGGCAGCGAAGGGAAAACGGATTCTTTTCTCCTCCCGGGACTTTATTGATCGACGCCGCGATAAGAAGGCCGCGAGCCGGCCGATTGGTCTAAGGATATGGCCGCTACGCCGCGATCTCGTCACGACGTGGTAGATAGAAAATGCTTCTTCGCAATCTATTCTTTCTTACTGCAACCGGATTAATTCAAATTAATTAATTTTATCTACCAATTACATCAACGATAAACACGATAAATATTTTACAAAGATTAATATTTTTATTTGAGTACGCAATATATTAAATATCTCATTAACTAAAATCTTCCTGCTCACCCTATGCGGATCAAATCCATGTGTTTATACTTCGTTTCAGCCCCCTATACTTCTTAAGAAGATTATTTTCGTCAACAACATCCTATGTAAATACACCTTTCGAAAAGAATGCGAGACCTTAATAGAGTCATCTCGTGTAAGCGGTAGAGTTAATCTGTCTACAAACGCAACGAAAACAAACACACTCGCATACAAGTCAAATCCACCAACGATTTTTTTATGGTTTGCCACTGCAGTTAGAAATCCAGTAGCTTGTGCGAGGATGAATCGTCGAGGTTCATCGCCTATAAAATCTCTCGTTGCTCTCGAGATGTAGCCGTAACTGCCACAAGGACAAAAGTGATCGATCGAGCGCCAGGGAAAAATTGTTTACAGAGGAAAATTGCTTGGAATGGTAAGAGATCACGCAAATCACATTTTGAATGTAAACATTATTACTCATTCGATAATTGCGTGATATGTCATGAGTCTCATTAAATGTGTTTCTTAATTTCTTCCGATAATGAGATTGGACTAATTATCCTAATTAAAATAACTGGGTCTAAATAGCAGAGACCTTTTATTTACGTTTCTGTTATATTATATATCTGAATATATAAAGCGGAAATTATTTTATTCGCGTTTCATTTATCATTTAAATATATACAGAGATAATTTTAAATTCTCTCTCTATAGAAAAAATTTTTACTAAATTAAATTACCCAAATAGCTTATTAAATATGTCTGCAAATAAAAAAAATGAAGCAGTTTGCATATCCGAAGAAAGTTAATGCGGCAATTACTAAACACATTACTAAAGCTGCTGTTTACAGCAGCGGATCGTCTCAGATAATTGTGATTTCCATTTTGCTCTCGTGACCGACAAAACTGAAACAGGCGTTCAATCATTCCTACTCCCAGAGCGGTATATAATCCATCGTACGTAAGCAAAGACCCTTCCCTTTTGAGCTCTTTAGCAAAGTCAAACTGAAAATCAGAAAAAGGGGGAATTAAATCGGGCTCCCAGCGGGGGTGAGCGCGTTATGAAAACTCAGAGCTCGACGTTCCACGGTAAAGATTCATTCTCCACTTATTCCCTTTGCCGTTCTTCCCTCTGTCATAGGATACGTACGTGTGCGTGTATGCGTGTGTTTGCGCAGAGACCGATGGCGCGGTAAAGAGAAGAAAATCGAGGGAAAAAGCTACCGACCCTACCATATCCAGCGTGTCGTTTTATATCACCGGAGAATTGGAATCGAAGCGACGCGAGTGCGCATCGATGTTAAAACGACCCTATAAAGTCCCATAAAAACATTGCCAACGACATGTATGTATATCCGCATGTACATACACGCACCGACCGTAAACTCGAGTTAAACTTTAGTCCCAGATTTCCAGACGCAAGCGCGAAACTATTCACCCTCTCTACTCGATGCCACGCACGAGTGCACCTATGCACCGGAATGAATCGCGCTAATTTATTTACGAGCGAACACAACGAATCGATCCGTCTTTGTTGTTGATAATTGCACAACAGATTCTTTACAAGGAATATCGCATACGAAGAGAGAGAAGAGTAGATTATATATATACGTAAGAGAGAGGATAGATTTATATTTATGAGATATAGATATAGATATATATCTTATAAATATAAATCTATCCTCTCTCTTTACAAGACCACAAATAAAACCGTATTTTAATCTTTTAACTTTGCAATGTATAAAAAAATTGTGATATTTTCTAAAATATACAATATTTACGTTATGTAAATACATCCTTTTCACGATATTCGAATAATTCGATGTTCGAGAAACGAGAGACGTCCTTCCAACCCCCTCTGCGAATAATATTAAAATGTGCGAGAAGCCCAGGGTGAAAGTTTAATAACCGTTGGTCGCCGACACGGTCGCGTCCGGCATTCAATCTACACAAGCGGATTATAATTTCTAGCCAACGCAATTTGGAGTACAGGTAGAGGTACGCTGGGAAACGCGTTTGTCGTGCGTCCTACAACAGCCGCTTAATTAACGGCGCGGAAGTAAGGAAAAAAGAAAAACGGAGGGAGGAGGAGGGAGAGGGAAAGGAGCAACGCGGCGGGATGGGTCGGTTATGGGATTTGGTAATGAAATTCGTTGAAGAGTTTGGCGGCTATGGTGATACATCATTCCACCCGGTCTCCGTTTCGCCCTCCACCGCGTTTCTCTCGAGTTTTAATGCGCCAACGCGGCGGACGAAGAAAAGACGATCCTGAAACGGGGGAAAAAGAGGGAGAAGGGGGTGCGATGGGCGAACCGACTAATGCCGCAATTTCGTCGTCCTTCTTCCACCGACTCGACTTTTTTCCCTAATGATCACGGCTCACTTGACGGGGTGGAAAAACTTTTGGTCTTCCTCCAATAAAAGTTGGCACGTGTTCCCGCGCGACGGTGAATAAACGTCTCGGTGATTATGGCGCCGATTCCACGTCCGACTTGACAGAAAACTTTGTTAATACACCGGATCGATAGAGAAAGTTTCGCGGGCACGTATGCGAGTTTGACTGTCGAAGTCGTCGAGATTGCGAAAACGGAGCGAAGTCTTGATTTTGATCGATTGCGGGAATTGCCTAACGCAAAATAAATTTGAAAAGTTTATTGCAATAACGGTATAAATATTTAAATGAGATATATAAATAAAAAAATACTACGTAAATATAAAAGTACTATATATATGTAACTGCTATATATAATAAATATTATACTATGTTTGCTCATATTTAAATTTCATTCAAAATTTATATTCTGAAAATTTTTAACTTACACACATTTGAAAATGTATTTTTTTTAAATTATTAATTAAATTATTTAATTAATTATTAATGTAATTATTAAATTAATTATTAATTTAATTATAAAATTATTAATTTAAATATTATTTAATAAATTATTAATTTAATTATTAAATTATTAATTTAAATATAAAATTTAATATAAAATTATTAATTAATTTCGATTTTGAATTATTGCACTTTTTCGACGGTGATTTTTATATTCAAATAATACCTTCACACAATTGTAAATGACACATTCTTACCTTTTCTAGCTTTATCCGGCGATGTGGGCGAATCGGCGTTCGCGTGAATCGAGGTCGTTGTCGGGCCAGAAGATAAAGTCGACGATGAGACCGCCGGTGTACAGGACGCAACAGGACTGGCGGCCGCGGACGGCAGCAAAAGTTTCCTCTTATGATTGCAGAGCTTGGTCATCTCGCGCGTCTTGCCCTGATCCGGGCTCCAAGGTCGTGTCGCAACCTGAAACAAGAACGTGCACGCCATTCGTTATTCGTCTGATCGTATCGCGTAGCCGTGTAGGCGTGTGATCGACTAACGAGTTAAATTTGAATCTCCTCGAATGCACGATGAGAGATCCCAGAATATCGTTTGAGGCTTTTTTGAAAGCTTTAACAAAGTTAATTAAATCTTAGAGAATTATATTAATATTGTCGACGAAGTACTTTCATCGATCTCTAGGGTTGATCGATATGTAAAATGTGATTTATATATTTAACAACCAATCTGCTATATAAAATGATAATCTTCTTTACCTCCACCTGTTTTTATCAAGAGGATTGCCATAATCGGTAAATATCCACGCTCGAGAAACAAAAGCGAGCGAAACTGGTAAAAAAAGGAGAGACTAAGGGGGTCGAGGGACCCAGCTGACGAGGCTCATGAATCTCATGATCGATGCGCGATGTTGCGAGCGAAGTTAAAATGCCTCCGAGTTGAAAGGCCGATGCCCATAATGGCCGTGCACCGGACTTCGCCGTGTTACGTGTCAGCTCGGGAGACTTTCCGCAGCAATTTACGGCCGCAAACACGGTGCCATTACAACGTATCGCAAGTAAGATAATGCCACGCTTGATATATAAGAGCTATCCGTAAAGTACCTAGCGCGCGAAATGTTAATCATCGTTTCCTGATGGTCTTTGATGATAGTCAGGATACGATAAGCGATATCATTAATCGTTACTCACGGAAACAATAAATTAAGGATTATACCGCCACATATTTATTGATTAAAATATCTGCAAAATATATTTCGCGATAAAAAAGAATGTAGCAAATTCGCGGATAATATTCTCGTCATGTTTAAAGACGCGAAGCGGGTTTTACGGAGCTAATGGAAAATGTGAGATTCCGCACAACAGATTCGCCACGCTCCATCTGAGCTGGTACCTAGTAGCTTAATTAAGAACGACCTGAATACGGCGCCGAGATTAAGCGTACTCTCGGCGCCGGTCGGCCTTGGCATCGAGAGCCAACGAGTGTAATAATGTATACAGACAGTTAACTCAATCAGTCCTTTTCTCTGACTGGCCTATCATTCATTCCGCTTCTGGCAAGGTGCTCATCAGCACTGATCGCATTACCGATTAATCGAGCCCACCGTGATACCAAAGAGAAAACGACGAAGTTTGCGTGCGATTCATTTTGAAAATATTGCGGATCGATCGCAGATCTTGTCGGAATAAATAAGATAAAGTATTTATATTTATGAATTAATTACTATCAATCTTTCAATTAAGAAAGCGATATTAATTTTCTGTACTGGAAGACGTTTCTAAAAAAAATTGCATCTTTAAAAGGACAAAAAGAAAAAATAAATAAATAAAAATATAAAATATAAAATAAATAAAAATAAAAAATAAATAAAATATAAATATATTATTAGTATTAAAATATATATACCAAGTAATATATGATGTGCTACAAATGTATGTTGTATATAAAAAAAACTAAAAAAATAACTGTTTTCAATTTAAAAAAGGCATGTATATTCTTTGCGGAGAACAAAACATTGTGGGCAAAATATCGCATGTGTTGCGAATAGTCAATTTTTTTTTTCATTCATGTTCGCTAGGCGAATCGCGCCCAAGCGTGCAATTGCGGTTACGTCGTACAGTCGTACATTAGCAAAGCGTGGTGTTTGCATCACTACCTAAATAATCCTCGCCACTCTGAGAGTATATACGCGGGTTACACCGTCGCCGCTTTCCACGGCATTATTTCCCGTCACACGCCGCCCATTGCACGCGAGGTAATCACACGGCGACCAGCGGCGGAAACCGCGATTTAATCCTTTTTCTCGGACGTAAAATGAGACGCCGTACTGCGACAGAAACGACTTTAATATGATAGCTTTTACCCGTTCTCCTTATCCCGTGCCCAGATACGAACGTGGCCGAGTATCTCCCTCTCTTGATTAGATGATCCCGAAAGGGAAAATAAACTGCACTACGCACGCACCGTTTGTAATTATCACGAATCAAACGAGCCAACCAGCACACGTTAAGGATTTTACATGAAACTGCTTTAGGTTTCTATATCGCATGTATAATTACAATAAATTATTAGAGAGAAATGAAATTAATATCTCATAAATTTTTGTAAAGTCTATAATTAAATAATTCAATAAAAATTAAATATCTGCAGCAAAAATTTTAGAGGGTGCTAGATAAGAGAAGATGAAATATAAAAACGCGTTATTAAATTTAAAAACACTTTTTCATCTCAGCAATCATACGAATAGCTATCCCTCGCTATTTAATTATAAAAAAATTGTACAATAAAATTTAACGATAATGGAAAGGAGAAGCTCCTTAGAAAGCTCGTAATAAGATTATCGCGTAATTTACTTGAGAATAAAATATTTATTAAACTGTTATTCATTAATACTAATCAACCAGATATTCGTAAATAATATATAAAGTGAGAACCGTCATCTATGCAATGCGCGTCGATATCTAAATTGATATAATTAATATTGATGCGCGAGCATAAAATCTTTATCGAGATTTATGAGTATGTTTTTATCTCTTTCTCTCAATTGTAGATATTTTCATCGCAAAATTTCTGCATCGCGCCGCAAATGACGAATACGCGAGTTTTATTTCGAGGAAGGTAAATCATCGTGCCGCCACGTTCTCCGCTAACTCCGGATCCAATCAACTTGGCATACACAGGGTCCGTATTCCTCGCAACGCAACGCGACGCGCTGACCTCGACGTCGTTAAATTAAATTTATGTCATTCCCGCGGCGTCCTCCTCCGCTGCGCACATATACCATATGCGTTTATCGTTACCGCGCGACATTACGTTGAATTAACGTAACAAGGCTATTAGTCTGCGATTTTACGACTTTAATCGTGACAGCGGGACCAGACTGCTCCCTTTCTCTCTCTCTCTCTCTCTCGGTCCCAAGCTTCACAAATTGGCTCTCGAGACAATCACGCGGGAGCACGTCGTACGTATCTGTCAACTGTGGATAATTAAATGTGCGCGTGTACGTATGTGAGCGTACGATTGTTCGCAGGTAACATTCCCAGAGAAATGTCGGCTCGCTGATTGCGCGGGAAACTGTGCGTCTCTTTCTTGTAACGGACGGTAGCTCATTTGTTACGGCAAGTACAAGCAATAACGTTCGCTAAATACTGCACCAAATATAATTGAGTGAAATGGCGAACGTTATTGCGTGAAACGAGGTTAAATCCAGGATCTTTCACAATTTTATCACGAGTCGCTACAAATTTTCTACATACATACATAAATAACAATAATTTAATTATATCGAGTGTACAGAATATTATTTATACTTGTCGCGGTAAGCTTGTAATGCATTGTAACAATCAACATGATTATCATATCATGAGCTAACGCGATTAAATTTTAACAATGTAATTTAAAAGCGCCTTGAATAATTTTTATTTTCATCCCATGGTTTATACAACGTGATGCGTGCGTTTTTCATCCTGTGCGCATTTATTCACACGATGATAATATAAAATTTTATAGTCTCGCGTTATTAAACTTGGCCACTATTAAGCGTCTCGCGTCAAAGCCAGGAATATGGATCGACAATGAATGTTCGTCGACGTCAATGCGAATATCTAATTTACGATCGACGTTGCTGTTCCCGCATTAATATCGCCATTATTAAACTCGAGCAACTATCGGACGCATGATGAAAGGTATCTCCGTGTATAGCCGTCTACAAAGAACTTTCGGTGCTTGTTGTTGAAGTGCGCTATTGAAATGAGATGCAGCGAAGACGTGCAATTAATTTAACCGAATATCTAAATTACGCATTAATGATGACACGAAATGAGAGAGAGCGTTAAATATCAAAGCGTTGCCTACCAAATATTATCAAATGAAAAAGGAATCTTATATTAGTCCGTCACTTGAATATTTTAATATAGGAAAACTAATTGATGCGAGCATTTTTCACGATATCGAAAAATTTGCAATTGTGATGCGAAGAATCTAGGACGCATGTTTACGTAATTGTTCGATAATTAATTAATCCATATTAATTGGGAACTTTTGATCGATAATTGCGCGCTCGCCCTCATTTCTCATCACAAAAGCTTCTTGTCTGGATTACGACACGTGCAGCAGCTTTCATTTCCGAGAAATTAGTTTTATTCGTTTAATGAACGAAAATTACAATTTCTGTCGCGTCAATTGACATATGTCAAACAGGTCTTTTGTTATAGGTTGCAGAGATAACGGATGATAAAATTAAAGGTATTATCGTATATCATTGTAAGCTTAATAGCTATGAAATTTCAAAAGTCAATCATCGATGCGTGGGCGTTGCCGCGATATCGTATCGAGGATCATGACGATACAAGAATAGAAGGGATGAGAAGGAAAAAAAAGCACGGTTTACGGTCTAGTATTCAATCGATAAATAATAATTATATCTGGTTGGCCAACTGATACTAATTCACGCGATAAGTCACTCTCGTAGGAAGGGACGCTTTATGTTAACGATGCTCGTAGCAGAAATGAAAGGGGGCGCGTGCTCCGTGATGCTCGTTTAATTACCACTCGTTTATGAACGAGTGATCTAAATGTTCACGCTTCTGCTACAGCTTTACTTACTTGCACGAGATACCGATAAAAATAAAGTTGACGATGTAATAAAATAATCGGCGAGAGATTGGCGAATAAAATTAATTTGAATAGAAATGAATAAAGAATAATAGACATCGATTGTCCTCCGTCGTAATTTCCGCGAGTAATTAAATTATGAAGTTAATCGATCGCTTAATTACCGAATAATCGTGGACAATTGCTCGCTCTCTCATTTTGTTTTCGATAATACTTTTTCCTTGAACATCCCGTGCTTGTAATAGCAGCGCAGTTATTTCCCCGAGATCTCTCTTAATAGTTTAATCAATTAATAATTATTATCGTTCGCGATAAGAGCATTCGCGTTTAATTGCCGTTCGTTTAACCCGCTT